CTGGTTCGACCATATACGCTCGTGGGGAACTGTTTTAAAGGAACGACCAGAACTGGATATACTAGAAGTTAACTACGAAGATCTGTCGGAGGTAGTTTGAGAATCTTTTCATTTGTTTTGTTAAGCTGTACATTACAGTACATGCGTGTTGTAATTTAGTTTCAGTGGCGTCTCTAGAGTGGGGGGGGGCGGTCTTCCCCAGGCGGCAAATCAAAACAAGCCCAATGCAGCGATGTAAATCAATCGCTGGTTGTTACAGTCTTTGGTCTTTTTACTTTCTCGTATATACGAAGTATAGAGAAAGTCTTGTAATCGTGCAAAAAAAATAGAGATTTTTACAAATCTCGACGTTTTACACCTCACTCATACGGAAAAACATTATTTTGCAATCTTGTCCGTATGTTTGTGTTTCTGTCTGTGTGTCTGTGTGTGTGTGTGTGTGTGTGTGTGTAAACACGATAACTTGAGTACCGTTACAGCTAGGTTGATGAAATTTTATATGTAAGTATTTTATCAAAATCGTAGATCCGTATTAGCTTTTGAGCGATTTCCGATAAACGGAAGTGGGACTTTTTTCAATTTGAATTTTTCAAAAGCCTATAACTTGAGTACTATTTCAGATTGATAAATGAAATTTCACACGTAAGTAAAAGATCTAATCCTCTAACTTCTATCAAATTTTTAGTAATTTCCGTTGACCGGAAGTAATAATTTACGCCATTTCCGATTTCTCAAAAAACGCTTGTAAATTTATAAAGTACTAATAATATTCCGCACTATTATGCACATTTTGTTTTGGCGTTCGCTTGGTGCGCAATTCTTTTTTCTATGAGATTCTATTCTATTTAAAAAAGTTTAAGTATTTAAAATGGATTTAAAATCATAACTATATCCCGAGTTCCCATCCCCTGTTGTTTTATCTAAGAATATTCGAGAAAGTTTAGGGGAGATCACTCCCGGTTTATTATAATAAAAGGATTGAAGACTCGCATTGTGTTAATTTTTACTTTCAAATGTTGTATTAAACCAACACGTTTCAATCGGATGATGGAGACACACAATGGCTATGTTAGTACCCTATAGTGACTAGAGTGAAATAGTGACCTACTGGTGGACTTAATGGACTGGTTATCTAACTGGCTTTGGCAGGAGCTGAAAAGTGATAATGATTTAAATGCGCAATGAAAGTATACATTTTAAAAAGTTATCTTCATGGTTATAGTTACATTAGGACCAGTATTACAACCTACCTTAGCACCTGTACTGACCATTCAGTCTTTGACACACAGGAGCCTCTGTTATAGTTATAGTTACATTAGCACCAATATAACAACCTACATCAACAACAGTAGTGACCTTTCAGTTGTTGATCAACAGGACCCACTGTTATAGTTTGACCATTCAGTCTTTGACCAGCAGCACCCACTGTTATAGTTTGATCATTCAGCCTTTGACCAACAGGACCCACTGTTATAGTTTGATCATTCAGCCTTTGACCAACAGGACCCACTGTTATAGTTTGACCATTCAGTCTTTGACCAACAGGATCCACTGTTATAGTTTGACAATTCAGCCTTTGACCAACAGGACCCACTGTTATAGTTTGACCATTCAGTCTTTGACCAACAGGATCCACTGTTATAGTTTGACAATTCAGCCTTTGACCAACAGGACCCACTGTTATAGTTTGACCATTCAGTCTTTGACCAACAGGACCCACTGTTTAGTTTGACCATTCAGCCTTTGACCAACAGGACCCACTGTTATAGTTTGACCATTCAGCCTTTGACCAACAGGACCCACTGTTATAGTTTGATCATTCAGCCTTTGACCAACAGGACCCACTGTTATAGTTTGATCATTCAGCCTTTGACCATTCAGCCTTTGACCAACAGGACCCACTGAAGAAGATACGTCAGATCGCGTCCTTCCTTGGCGTCTCGCCCACAGAAGAACTCGTTGCTCGGATCGACTCGGCCTGTTCTATTAATAGCATGCGCGAGCGCAAAGGTGGATTCTATGCCGACTCTCAAGGTCACTCCATCATGTACAGAAAAGGTGAGTATTTAAAAAATGTTATTCCAAGAAAAAAAAGGGCTGGGGGTGGGGGGGGGGGGGGTAAAAGCTAGATATTATTAATAAAAGACAGGGGGGGGGGGGGTAGGTATAAAAACTGTGCATCATTTATGTACTATTTATGTTATATTTACTAGGCTTGGTTGGAGACTGGAGAAACGAATTCACAGCAGAGGTCAATGACCTGTTTGATGGAGTGCTGAAAGAGAAACTGGTCGATTTGCAGAACTGTGGTTTACATTGGAGGTTCCAGTTGGATCAGTAACAGGGGCTGTGGTTTACATTGGAGGTTCCAGTTGGATCAGTAACTGGTGCTATGGTTTACATTGGAGGTTCCAGTTGGATCAGTAGCTGGTGGTTTACAATGGAGGTTCCAGTTGGATCAGTAGCAGATGCTTTGATCATTTGTGCTACTGGTCAAGTGGTCATTTGTACTGTTGGTTATTTGTTCTGCTGGCCGTGGTCATTCTAAACTGGTCATCTGTACTGTTGGTCAAGTGATCACTAGTCACTAGTGGACATTCGAAAACTGTATTGACTTTTACGTGTGGTTACTATTGAGAATTTTAAAATCTTTTCTGGTGTTTTCTAGACTTTTTTGGGGGGAAGTGGAGAGTTCATCATTACTTATTTTTGGAACATAATGAGTTGCGTCACCTTTCCTGCTGTTGCTTGTTCATAATTATGCTGAGGTGTCTGAAACAGAGTTCTTCAAGTGGTAATCATAAAGTGGTTCTCATCAAATGGTGATCATAAAGTGGTGATCATCAAGTGGTAATCATAAAGTGGTTCTCATCAAATGGTGATCATAAAGTGGTGATCATCAAATGGTGATCACATCAAGTGGTGACTTGTTTTGGTGCTCCATATTGTTAAGGTCAAACTCTGTAATAAGAACAAATGTCCAGCATGTAAAATTTAGTCCTTCATGTGAAATGCATTTTTAATTTACTCAAAAATTTAATTTAAAACATGCCTTAAATCACACAATTATTTGCAATTTAAATCAATAAATTAAGTTTGTTTCAGACAGTGCACACCCCCCCCCCCCCCTGCCTCACAAGCCCATTAAAGTTTTTTATAAACTCGTATCCACAACCAGTCAAAGTCCACTTGATCAAGGCTGTAACTTAAAGTCGTGACGTTTTAAGCCGCGTCTATTGTTGTCAGTCAAACAGCTTCATATTCATCATCTTTTTCCGTTCGTCTACATAAGACATACCGGGCAGGTGAAGTAGAGTTAATCTGTTTTAATGACATCGAGGGATAGCATGGTCAGCACTATTCCTGCAAGCCTTAGTTTTCCCCCAACATGAGTCAGGTACCCATCAGAGCTGGGTGGACTCTGAGACGTCATACAGACTCGAGTCGAAACTCTGGAGGATTTCAGATTAGCAGTCGTTAGCTCTACCATTTGACATTTACATTACTAGATTGAAAGGAATAATTTCCTAGGTTTTATATGCAACTTCTAGAGAACTTTAAAACTTTCGATAAATAAGATGTGATCATTATTATGTCCTATTTCAGCTTCACACTACTAGACTGAAATGAATAATTTCCCAGGTTTTGTATTAGAGCATTAAAAAACCTTCGATAAACAAAATGAGACCATCAAGCCTCCTATTGACCAATCACGTGTCATTGAACCCGTGTATCCTCCGCCCCGCCCCCCCCCCCCCCAATCCCACACTCCTTTAATGTGGGACAGCTCCTGACTTCCATGCTATTTCCTATTGACCAGTCACGTGTCATTGAACCCGTGTATCCTCCGCCCCCCCCCCCCCCCCCCAATCCCACACTCCTTTAATATGGTACAGCTCCTGACTTCCATGCTATTTCCTATTGACCAGTCACGTGTCATTGAACCCGTGTATCCTCCAACGAGCCACACTTCGTTTGCACGTGATATTTTTTTAATTTACATTTATAATTATATATAATGTAATACCAGATATATTTAGATAGTAGTAAAAGTCATCACGGAAAGACAACCTCTATTGGCGTATCATTTTCTTCCAATTTTTTGTCTCATTAAATCTAATACGCATGATTCCACCGACTGCACTTTACTCACGTTAATGTCAATAATAGCTGCCATCACGCTGAGGTAGAAAATTGCAAGGTTATCGGCCCGCGCTTTCAAGTGCAAATAAGGGCCTGCAATTAACGTTAAATACTCGATTAGAAGAAGTCATTAGAGCACCCTGGGATGTTTAATAACTTAAAATGTAATTACCCGCCATGATTAAATTATATTAAAAATTTCTTGCGCGTGCGGTATTGATTAATTTTTTTTATATACTCAATATTTTTTTTTATCAATATGTATGGACAGTATTTTTTGGGCTAAGAACATTTAAAAGTAATTTCTCCATTTTAAGGTTACAGCTAATTCTTTTAAACACTTTTAAACCAAAAATCTATCATTTAACATTGCTTTAAAAAAAACTTAACGTAATAGTATAATTTAATTCGATTATTGCACTTAATTTAGCTTTCGTATGTCGATGGCCACTCGTATGTTTCAGTATATTGCACTAAGTCATCTGACACCAATCTATAGTATCTTAAATACAAATACCTTAAGACACTTTATGTGTTATCCTAGCCGTCCAACATGGATTAGAACCCACTGTATCTGGTTTCCCTCTGTATAAGCACGGCAATGTCGTTCATGTCGCTGAGAAATATTCGGATTTATGCCACTGAATAGTTGTTAAACTTGTTCACTCAACACGCTTTTGTCTCGGTCAGTGTGTTACCCATATATTTTTTGTAGATGTTTTAGAATTTAAAGAAAAACAATCATACAAATCTAGTTCTCTGCACAATGTTTGAAATAGACCCTGATGAGATTGAAAGAATAATAATAGAACTAATCGAATTGTTATTTTTTACCAGTCGCCTCCACGATCTAATACTATTTAGTCAAAACACGACAAAATGAACTCGACGGACATTTCTAGTGTATCACGTGACTTTCCCCCTCACCCACACACCGTGGGTGAATTCATCCCCGTGGAGATATACGTCACCAACGAACAGCGAAGGATCGCCGAAATCGTCGTCGACTTCACCCTCTGTTTCGTCATCTCCTACATCGGCATCGTCACCAACGCCATCGTCATCGCCGTATTTGCCCGGCAAGGTTTCAAAGACAGCGTCGGCGTCTCCATGACGGTCATCGGCGTATGGGATTTCCTCAAATGTCTGGGCGGCGCCGCGCAGAGAATGTCAGGCCCCATCAGCTTGGTGTCCCCTCTCGCGGCCAAAAGCTGGATCAACATCTCCGTAGTCGTGTTCAACTACTTCATCTCTTTTTCAACCTACGTCGCCAGCGTCCTTGCCGCTTACGTCGCCGTTGAACGCTGCCTTTGCGTGAGCATCCCTTTTAAAGTGAAACAGATCATAACGCCCAAACTCACGTTAACCCTCTGTCTTGTTATTTCTTTCGTCGTGTTCGGCTGTTTCATGGTCATGTTTTTCATCTACGATATCCTGTGGGTGTACAGCGACCAGTACAACGCCACCATCGCTATCTACGTCAACAGCGATTTCTACTACAAGAACACGGGCCCGCTGTTCCAGTACTACAACCTGTCCGGAATCATTTGGCCCACGACAAGCCTGGGGGTCATCGTGACGCCGACGGTCATCATCGCGTACCATTTGAAGAAGTCTTCACAGTTTAGATCCGGAGCGGCAAATACGATCAAAGGTCTGTGTGCGTGTCTTTTTGTGTGTCTGTCAATGTATTTGTCTGTGTGTCAGTCTGTCTGTGTGTCTGTCTATGTCAGTGTTTCTGTCTGTGTGTCTGTCTGTTTGCTTGTCTGTCCGTCCGTCCGTCTATCTGTCTCTCTGTCTGTCTGTGTATGTAAAGACGATAACTCGAATACCTTTTCAGAGATTGACAGAATTTTACAAATATTAAATTGTATGTGCAGATTTCATTCAACTATTGAACGATTTCCGGTAACCGGAACTGCATTTTTTTTCGATTACTCAAAAACTCACTGCATTTGATAATTTACATATTATATTTTATTCTCTATGTTTTCCCGAAAAAAAAGCTATTTTTTTCACAAACCTCGCCTCTCTATCGCCCAATTTCACTTAAAGTTCTATCCCAACCTTTACTGTCATATAAGAATATACGAGAAAGTTTAGGGGAGCACACTCGTGTTTTTTTTCTCCACCAGACAAGACAGCCAATACCAAACAGCTGTCAACGCGAGACAGACAAGTGGTCAAAATGCTGCTGGTCGTCATCGGCGTGTACATCGTCAACCTCTCCCCCCGGATCATCCACTACACCGTCAAGTACTTCATCTACGAGTTCTACTTCCTGCGCCTCTACCACAACATCTTCCTGTGCATCACCTACATCCTAGCGGTCTTTGACCTCACTCACGCCGCCATCAATCTCTTCATATTCTACCCCATGAGTTCGGCGTTTAGGGACACTTTCTGGGAAATATTTCATTGCTGTTCAAAGCTAGGAGTCCGTAAAATAGACAAATCGTAAAGGCAATATATATATATATATATATATATATATATATATATATATATATATATATATATATATATATATATATATATATATATATATATATATATATATATATATATATATATATATGTATTTATATATATGTATTTATATATATATATATATATATATATATATATATATATATATATATATATATATATATATATATATATATATATATATATATATATATATATATATATATATATAAGAAGCTGTTGTTGTTTTTTGTTGTTTTTTTTATGCTTGTTAATTTATTTGCGTCTAATAATTGTAGGTCTACTTAACCATTTTTTTAAAGAATGTAAATCTTTGATATTGTTTAATAAAAACGTTATTATTATAAAGACCGACGATTACTGACATCTTTAAGTAAAGGGTAAAAATATCGTATTTAGATATGTGATTTCTTTAAGTTAAGCAAAGTTTTATTTTCAAGTGAAACAGAATATTGTGAACATATCTTGGAAACAAGAAAATAATGTTCAGATTATGACTTTCTTTTTACATTATTAACTATGAAACTTTGTATATTTGATTAAAAAGTAACAGCTGCTAAATAAATTTACAGTTTCAACCTTGACATTTCATAAATTAAAAATTTGTGTAATTCACAAAGAGAATTTAAAAATAGTGTTTCATGGCCCGAATTGAACTCATAATTTCAAACGCGGAGTTTAGCCAAAAATATTGTTTTTTCTCCACTACACATGAGCCACTACCTTAAACCGGGTTATTCTCGGATAACACCTAACATTGTTCTAGACCCAATATTAAAATTTATAAAAAAAAATAAAAACAAAAAAAACAATATTCTGGAATAAATTGTCCAAAAACTCCTGTTGTTTTAAAATAATAATTCAATAAACAAGTACGGTTACTCACTGATCAATTTTTAAAGATCTCTCACGTCACACGCATTAATTCCCCTTGAACTTTTTACAACTGCTCGACCGATAGGAAATTCTAATTGAGATATCTGCCGATCGCCTTTGTTTTGATCTATTCACGTCCCCCGCTTGGAAGTAATAGACTGCCCACACCCTTGAAAAACCATCAACAAAACCTCAGGGAATTTAAGCTGCAATTGCAACTGTAAAAACAAAAATTATTTTTTCAATTTTCCAGTCTACCCCCATCTTTGAAAAAAAAACGTATAAAAACCATCGTTTTCATTCACAGTAAATCAAACTTGTTTTTGTGTAAAGAGTGTTTAATTACAACTGCAAATTTTAATCTAGAGAGAGAGAGAAAAATATCTACATTTAAAATAATTAACTTTGCTTGACGTAAATAACAAGAGTTTAGCGATATGGAGATAATGCAAGTGATGGTTACAATCGTGCTTGTCCTTAACGCAGCACAAGTAGAGGCTTCCTCCACTTACAGGCATGCTGGTCAAAGCCTAGGCGACAAGCTACAGGCAGGAGAAACAGCAGCTAATCAGCGCCTAGTCGGCTACAGCCAGAACAAAAAGCTCCAAACAGCAGAACCAGCAGCTATTCAGCATCTAGTTGACTCCAGTCAAATCAAAAAGCTCCGTGCAGCAGCAGCTATTGAGCACCCAATTGATGCCAAGCTCAAAAGGAATCCTACACACAAACCCTCCAGGCTGAGACGTAGCAGAACATACCAACCAACCATTGAGCAGATGTTGACGGGCGTGAGCACAGTGGATATAAACGACGAAGAGAACACCTTAGCTACGACCACAGAGTTGTACCCCAGCATAACAGGCTACATCAACAGAACATCCAGCTGCCCACACAAATTTCAAGTTCTAGATCTAGGAGTCGCATTTTACCCACGGTGAGTCGTAGAACTAAATTTTACACCTGCTGATTCTGATCAGCTCTGTATTTTCACGCTTTTCTTTATTTCCTGTCTTAATGCTATAGGGCTGGTAAGTAGATCACCAACCAGTTCTACGGCTCAATAAAACCTGCTTGAGCCATAGAACTGTTTATTGACCTACTTACCAGCCCTATACCAAATGTCGAAACTTGCGAACGTAATTTCACCTACTTCTACTGAAGCGAACAAAATCGTTTCAAACTTGACGCTTAGATAACAATGCGATATGACATAAATTTTAAATAAAACGGTTATAATAACAAGTATATGTATATGCATTGAATATAGGAAATTAGCATGAATAGCTTTTAATATATAAATATATAAAGCTATACAACAAAAAGCGTGGGTCGCTAAATTATGAATTGAAAATTTATAATCTTTTATCTTTAATATAAACTTACAAACAATACGTACAGTGGAATGTACTATACCGTTTGCTTACATATGGCAATAAGTAGATATCATCAATATATTTTATTACAAATAAGTAGGCCTACAGTTCCTCCAATGTTTTTGAGCAACACAATTTTTCATAGAAAAATAATTTTAAAATACTGATTGACAAAAAAATTAAAGTAAATATTATTAGTACATTAAAAAAACTATAATAAAAATTTATAAATTTTTACTGATAGAAAAAAAAATACGCTTAAACATATTACTGAATCGTTATTTAAATATTATTTGTGTCCATCACATGAACAGATACCTGCTCGAAGCAGACTGTAACTGCAACTGTGAAGACGATAGCTACACGGCCACAGCCAACATGGGGGTCGTGATGGTCATGGGGATCAACTCGTCAAGGTCACAGCCGGCTCTAGTCAAGGTCGAGATTGCAACCAGCTGCTACTGCAGGCCACCCGTCATTTCAGGCTAACAACATCTTCTCACAGAAACTACCCACGACAGATGAATGACAGACATGTGAAGACTTTACCGACTGTGGTGAATGGTTAATCAAACAATACCACGTAATACGTCAGGAAGGAAGGCCTAATTTATATACAAAGCAGCACAGTATTATTGTATATAATTGTATATCTGGCACAGTATTATTGTATATAATTGTATATAGATCTGTATTTAATTAATTAAATGTATTCTGTTGTGTTTGATTATCTCATGATTATTTTCTAATTAGTGTAATTATGTTTCAAGGGGAGATTGAAAGGGAGAAATAATGAAAAAAATTGTGAACGTGTTTCAAAAGCGCTATGTTGAGAATATGTGAAAACAATAAACAATGTAAATAGTAACATGACAACAATATTCTTTTTAATACAAAAGTTACAAAAATCTCACATAAAGCATGCCTAATCTTGTCTCACATAATGTCTCAAATACATTTACAAACATTTTACATAACGCATGCCTAAAAATCATGTCTCACAAAATATATCAAATACATTTACAAACATCTCACATAAAGCATGCCTAATCTTGTTTCACAAAATGTCTCAAATACAGTTACAAACATTTTACATAACGCATGCCTAAAAATCTTGTCTCACCAAATATATCAAATACATTTACCAACATCTTACAAAACTAATGCCTAGTCAATATCCCCAACTGTCTCTAAGATACTTTATCTAGGTTTAATCTTATTTACACGTTTTGACTGTAGACAATGCAAAAAAAAAACAAATTCTATGAGAATTAAAAATGCCAAACGTTGAGTCAATGGGTTTTAGTTAGAGAAAATCTTTTTAAAATGTACTTATTTTTGTGTTCAACAATTTATTACAGATACATGTAGGTATCTGAATGATTCTGAAGTTATAAAAAATATTTCGTTTTAAGTTTTAAAACTATATTCTTATCAGAAAATTGTATTTCTTTATATATGATAAATGTGATATATTTGTGATACATTATGTTTTTAAAATGCCAACTATCAAATGAAATATTTATGAATTACTCAAATTAAAAATGTTATAATTTTAATTAGTGTATGATTTCTATGTTTCATATTAATGTAATTACTAGTCACGTGGTCATAATGAGATAAATACAATACAACTCAGAGGTTGGAACTTTTGAAAAAAATGTGTCTAGGAAAATGTGTCTTTCAAATAGATTGTAATACTTATTTTTATTATAAAATTTGAGGTGTGTTGTATTACTTATCCATGTACTGTTACCCATCTTTATAAGATGGGTTCTATCATGCAAAATAAAGACATAAATTCTGCACATTATTAATTGTTTTTGTGTGAATGGTGGGATGGTGTGGATGAGTGGTAGAGCGTACACTTGCTAATGTGGAGGCCCCTAGATCAGTTCCCAGGCTCGAGTCAGTAGGAAAAAAGTGAGTTCTGATGGATACCCGGATCGTTTCGGTCACAATATGACGTTACGTGTCAAGGTCACGGGACTCAGGTGAACTTTATCTGACCAATAGACGGTCAGGTTCGCAAGAGTAAATTTAATTACTTTAAGTAACTCGGGTTTGATAACATAAAGTTTATTGTAAACAAGTATTAAGTATATTAAGCCTTCTACCAAGAACTGCTAGAACTCTTCTTTACCCGCTTAATTGGAAGCGTAGTTTTTACGAACTTTTATTTAACTCACTTCCTCTGTCTGTCGTCAGTCTAGATCGAAACGCCGGAGCGAAATTGCAGGCACTTCTACATGACAGATACGGTTCGTGGTTGGTACATGGGTCAAGACATGAAGACAATGCATCATGACATTCAATTTGACTTAATCGGTCGCCTGATTAATTTTTTATAAATTAATTAAAAATTGTTACTCAGGTGGTTGCCTGACTCACGTTAAGAAAAGTAAATGCGGCTGTGCATAGTGCTGACCAGTGGCGTAGCGAGGGGGGGGGGGGGGGTGCAGGGGTTGACACTACTAAGTGCCGCACCGGGTGACACCAGACCTCGCTATGCCACTGGTGCTGACCACACTACCCTTGTATACACCGAGGTCCCAGAAAATGGGAAGGCTCCTATGTCTACACTACGGACGGTCAGGGTTTAAAGTGTAACTTGACAACCTTTAACTGACCCAGGATAATATAACATTCTTGTAAAAACAATTTTATTCGCCTTATATATGACAAACCATACCCCCAAGACTCGTATTTCAAATATGGGGGGATTCCCCCTAGCAGTGTTTACTTTCCGTAACTTAGAAATGCATTTCTAAAAAATGTTGTCGTGAAATTTGTGTTATTTTTTTAACTAAAGAAAATCAAAGAATAGAATTTTTTTTTTTTTTTTTTTTTTTTTTTTTTTTTTTTTTTTTTTTTGGTTTTAAAGGAAGAAATCTTGATTTCTATTTTTATTTTTTGGGACTTTTTCTTATAAAAATGTCACACTTTATACCAAGGCATGTGGGATGGGGTACACACAACGTGTACAAAGTTGAACGACCACACAAATATCGACCATGTACTTAACCAAGAAAAACACGGAAGGACAACCTTGTAAAAAAAAAAGAACTGAAATGCCTTTCTTATTTACAGTGGCAGATAATCAGATAATCAGATTAATCTTTCAAGTGGCCCTTGTGAAAACTTGTGTTCTAATTTTTTTTTAATTATTTAATATTTAGTTCGCGAGCATTACAGACAACACATGTAATAAAACAGTACTTTTGACTTAGATTAATAACATGTATGTCACATATTTTATTCATATATAGTTATGTAAATTGATAAAAAATAAAATCATCTTGCAGTGGCGGAACTAAAGAAAAATAACTTCTTTATTTCATATATACTTTAAAAAATGTCTAAAGTCAGACCCAACTAAAAAAAAATTAAAAAATATTTTTTTTAATACTTTTATTTTTATTTTTTACTAATCACATCAACATTATTCAAAGGGATATGCTCAGTTTATTTCAATTTTTTACAATGTAAGATCTAAAAAATTTAAAATATTTTTATTATGTTTGACACATGAACTTAAGTATTAAACAGCAAAACAAATGGTTAAAAACAATTTCGGTTGTCATAGAAACCCGAAAACAAACCCCTCATTTTGAATTTTTTGGTTCTTTAAAAAAAGCTAAGGCTTTTTTTTATTTATGCACTTATGGCAATCAAATTTACACGACATATATTTTGTATATACTAAAACTTTTGTCAGGACAACTTTTCTTTAATAGAACTACTGGTTAGAATTCTACAAGGTCCGAAAAATCGCAGCCTTTTTAGTATAGAAACGTTTCAAAACTAGCATATTATTTACCATAAACTTTCTTTCTATGAAAACCATCTTCATTCTCTCATGAAGTTTTATATTTGCACGATGAACAATTACTGAAAATATGTTGGGCATTGTTTCATGAATAAAAAGTAGTAGGCTTTTTAGTGTTAAAAAACTGCGCACTCGCACTGTGAAAAACAGCAAAAATTAAAGAAAAGTAGGTCACGAAAATACAATATTTGTGTAATTTTAGAGACGATTGTAAGCTTTGGGTATTTCTGACATGATTTAAAATACGATTATCAACTACATGAGCAATCCAGCTTCCCAATGATGCAAGATACAACATGATGACGGATATAAAAGTATTAAAATGTTTCGTAGAAAGGTTGTAAGTATGGAAAAAAAATTATTTATTTTTTAATTGATGGGGTTATACAAATTGTATTTTCAACACATTAAAAATATTTTTCGTTAAAGTAATTATTTTCTTAATACAAAAATTTTTAAAATGGTCAAAGTATCCGAAAGTGCAGGAAACCCATTTTGACGAAAAAATTGGTGATGTTGTAATTAGCATATCCCCTCAAATATTTACAAACAAGGAAGAGAAACCAGTGTAACAATGTCATATCCAATGTGACGAGCAAATAGTAAGTTACTAATAATGAAAGATGAATTAAACATCATCATGATATGAACAAAACAGTGAATACTTTTGTACTTTCTAGGGTAATGTTGGGGGGAATGTCCAGGGGATAATTGACTTGGGGGGGAGGTAATTTCCTGTTCCCGAGTTTGCTTTTATCTCCCCCTAAAATCTAATCTACGTCCATACAGACAGATGACCACTGCTATAGATCAATCTAGTGAAGTGACCACTGTCCTCTAACATCTAAGTCACGTCGACACAAATGATCACTGTTCAAAGACCGACTCCCTCTCCCCCCACTCCCCCCACACCCCTACACACGAGCCACATCAACACCACCAACAGTAAAAACGACAGCATCACAAGTCCACAGCACGGCCTACTAAATCCCTTTGTCATGAGCTACCGTGTGTATTAAAAAACGCGTCCAAAAAGTCATAACTCAAACACGCCAAAAAATCACCCGCCATAACGGCCTTGTCAACTATTAGCCTGCTGTCAAAAGTTTGATTGTTAAAACTATCCTAGTAATTACAGTCTCTGGTGAACTGAGGAATTGGAAATAAACTGTCGAACTGAATCTAGGTTCAATTCCAACTTTAGACCGGCGGCTACCGCCTGGCTTTTGTTTCCTCGGTCATCGCATCACGTGGTTTAGCCATGAGGCGCAGCTAAGGCAGGGGACGACCTAGGGTCTCGAGGTCGAGTTCCGAAATCCTGACTTGGCAATATCGGGACGGTGTGGCCAAGCAGTAGAGCGGTAGACTGCTAACTCGAAAGTCTCGAGTTTGAATCCTCGTTCATGTCAGTAGATAATCCAGCCAGCGCTAATAAGTGCCTAACTCAAGTTAGGGAAAGTAAAAGCGTTTGGGCATAGTGCTCCGGACACTGTCCTTTCATATGCCGAGGTCAGAGAAACAGGTGAACTCTGCTTCACTAACCCCATTGACCCTCACGTTTAAAAAGAGAACTTCACATTCCTCCGTCCTTCCATTATTCCCCCACATTCGGCTAAACTTGATGCCACCATCTTACAATATTGTTTCACACCTATCCCATCTCTTCATAAACAACGATTTTAAACCAGAGTTTCTTCCAGGCATCTCCACCCCTAGCCCCCCCCCCCCCTTTGGAAATGTTAGTCCGCCCTCCCCCCTTCGGAAATGTTAGTCCGCCCCTCCCCCCGAAAGTTTCAAGTGCCCCACCCCCACCCCCCCCCCCCCGGAGAAAAAGTCTGGAAGAAACACCGCTTTAAACTTTTCATTTCCGGCTATTGAGTATGGTTGAAGAAACAATCTTTTCCGACATTCGTTAATTTACCAAGCAGTTGTGACGGAACAAGATGACGTCACCTGTAGTATTACCTGTACGACGGCGTAGGAAAACCCGACGAAATAACAGACGTAGAGTGTCGTGGAGTAGATTTTGTGTAGCTGAGCTGTTCTTGGTGCAGGGGGCGTAGGGGTGAGTACTGTCCGTGTGTGTGTGTGTGTGTGTGTGTGTGTGTGTGTGTGTGTGTGTGTGTGTTGTGTTTCTGATTAGTTAATGGGGGCTATAATTAAATTAGCAATTAGAAACGAGCGTGGAAAGTGGTAGATTAAATCGGTCAATTTGCAGATATGTGTCAGATGACTTTAGCTCTGTTCGGTGATTCGGAGATTTTAGAATGAGCTTAGTAGACATTGGTATCAGTGCTTCTTTCAGGCTTTTTTCTCCGAGGGGGGGCACTTGAAAATAGGGGGGGGGGGGCGGACACTTGTAAAAGTATTTTTAAAAATTCTATTTCGAGATGCCTGAAAGAAACACTGTTTAGTATAGATTTATATTTATAGATTTATATTTACGTTTAGATTTACTGGTTCAGTTAGCAGTAATTTATATTTAAATATTTAGAAATATAATATTTTATGTTACGGCGAAATGTATTAAATAATCAGTATTATAATGCTATCACTAACAAAAATAAAAATTTGCCTGTTATCGGTCATAATGACCTAGCTGTCAATCTGTTTCCGGATCAAACCCACAAAACATTCCGAATTCATATTTACTCGGTTCAAATGAGAAGTTAAAGCAATGAAAACATCAAAATAGCCAGCAGTTGGCCTGTGTGTTTGTATTTTTTTCAATATACTAGTTTATTCCCTTTTTTAAGAGTGCATAATCGGACCTAGTCTTCAGATTTAAAGAGTGGTGAGGGGTGGGTGAATCCTTTTTTCTTAAACTGAGATTACCAATGACTGGAAAGTCTTTGAGATTTCTTTTTAAATAATAGAAACTGCAATAAAAGACAAATAGATGGGGATATAGCGGATTTGTGGTTTTCATATACTAGTAGCTTTCGTAGATTTTTTTTTTCAATACTTTTGACTTCGTGTTAGATTAATGGTATTAGTAATTTAGTATTTTTGTTTTATAGATTAGTGGTTTTTATATGTCAGTAGTGTTATGAAGATTAATGGTTTTCATATCAATCATGGGTTTTAAAAATGTATTGTTTTTTAAAGATGTTGATGATAATTTTCTCATAAATTACAGCTTGTGGCAAGACCGTATTTGGTACACCAATATGGCGTCCAGCAGTGATGTCAGCATCTTCTGCTGTCTCCTAGTGGTCGTGTCGATATGTCTCCATCCTCTCCTTCCGAGCACCAGGGCACAGATGGGTTAGAATCTTGTTTATACTTATGTGTTTGTCTTACTGTTCGTTTGGTTGTTGTTGTTGTTTTTTTTTTTTTGTTGTTGTTTTTTAATTTAACTTATTATTTTCCTTTGTTGTATTGTTTGTTTTTTCGGGTTTAACTACTATAACCATGGGTATTTATAATAAAGATGTTATTTTTTTAATTCGTAGCCAGTTAATAATTCTCTCAATATTTTTTTTTCAAAATTCTATCTACATTATCTTAACTTTAATTCAACTTCAAATGCATCTTCCAAACAAATTTCAATAAAGCTTTTGCTTATTAAAATCCCCAGTTTGTGTCTATATGTTGTTAATTACAAACTATATTGTGTCTTTAATTGTCTTTGGTGTTGGTTGGCAGTAACAAGACGAGGGACAAAGCTTGGACGATTCTACAGACTACCAGTCCCGCTAGATGGCGATCAGTTCAGACTCAGGAATCAGAGATATCGGGAAGAATTACTTCCATTATATCAGGTTTGTAAGGCTATATCTCTTTCATATATATATATATATATATATATATATATATATATATATATATATATATATATATATATATATATAAGCAAAAACAAAAGAATAGAAAAGGAAAGTAAAGCAAAGCAAAGCAAAGCAACGCAAAGCAAAGCAAAGCAAAAACAAAACAAAGTTCCCCTTTTAGACCTAAAGATCTTTAGGACAGGTGAAGTAGTTCACGAGTTACTTGCCCTCGGCTTAAGAAGGGATAGGCTGATCAGCACAATGCCCAGACGCCTATTACTTTCCCCCTGATTCAGGAACTCATCGGAGATGGCTTGACTCACGGACGTCCGAACTCCAGACCTACATGCTAGCAACCAAACGCTCTATCATTCGCAGCGTTTCTTCCAGACCTTTTTTCTCCGGGGGGGGGGGGGGGCACTTGAAATTTCCGGGGGGGGGGGCGGTAGACTTTCTTCGGGGGGGGGGGGGGGGGGGCGGACACTGTTAAAAGTATATATTTTCTATATAAATTATATGAACTGCATTTCGTTCGGGGGGGGGGTGGTGCTTTTCCTCCCCCACCCCCGAAAAGATGCCTGGAAGAAACTCTGATCATTCGACCACGAATGTATAATTTCGTGGTATTTTTTCCCTTTAGAGCTACTAAACTGTTAAAACTCGCTTTGGAGTTAACAATATTCCCTTCCTTACCTCAATGCCAACAAACCCTAATCTTAATCCTAGCCTTATCACGATCCTAACAATCACCAGCCGTACGACTAATCAAAATAACAGTATAATCTGTGACGGGCTTATGATAATCAGCAATGGTACCCTATAACGGTTAAGTACCACTCTTTTGTTCTAGAAACCACCGTTCCAACGCTGGGTCATACCAGGCCGCGATGTCCAGCGGTTTCCCCCGGGGTCGTTACGACATGTGGAGAATTTTCCTACCCCCGACCCCCGGGTGAACAGGTTCTCCAAAAGGGAGAGAGTGGCACTAGTAGGTACGGTGTTTGTGTTTGTTGGTGTTTGTTGGTGTTTGTTTGGGTGTTTGTGGTGGTGTTGTTGGTGTTTGTGTTTGTTGGTGTTTAGTTTTCTTTGTGTTTCTTGGTGCTTGTGTTTTTTGGTCTTTGTGTTTGTTGCTCTTTGTGTTTGATGGTCTTTGTGTTTGTTGGAGTTCACCAAGTGACATGAAGGAGAGAATATACTAGCAATGAGGGGGTCATTTAAATCTCTCATCACGGTGGACGCTTGATGTACGAATAACGGTTTATATGTATAAAACTGAACATGTAATTTGTTATATATAATTACACACACACACATATATATATAAATATATATAAATATATATATATATATATATATATATATATATATATATATATATATATATATATATATATATATATATATATATATATACAGACACCAAAGACAATTAAAGACAGAGTATAGAGTTTGTAATTAACAACAAATAGACACATACTGGGTATTTTAATAAGCAAAAGCTTTATTGAAATTCGTTTGGAAGATACATTTCAGTATTATAATTTGGCACCCTGGGCTATCTTGTGAGCGCTATGGTCCATAATTTCGCTTTAAATAGTGCGATAGACTATGGATAAGAAAGGTTACTATAATCCGGGCGTCCTACGGCGCCCAGACAGGGTGCTATTTGGGGCACCTGGACTCCCGTGTTCGCTTTAGCTCCTACGTTCGTTTAAGTGAGTGGGTTTGTGTTTGCGTGTGTGTTATCGTTTGTATTTTTGTTTGCGTTAACGTTATTTTTGCTGTTATTGTGTTTTGGTTTTAGTTGGTTGTGGTTAGGGTGGGCAATGCCGGGTATATGCTGATTACAAAACACATGTCATGGTCTTTTACAGATAGGTTTTTAACAGAAGCCAGTGCAGGGCCTGGCCGGGACGGCTAGTAATAATATATATATATATATATATACGAGAAAAATGGCCCGTTGAGGAAGGGTACAACGGGCGCTAGGCTGATAGTGCTGTCTCTTTTCTCTAAACTAAAACCAACCCACCCCCCCCACACACCACCCCCCACCCCACCCCCCACCACCACACACCACCCCCCACCCCCACCCCCCACCACACACCACCCCCACCCCTCACCCCCACACACCACCCCCTCCACACACCGCCCCCCACCCCCCACCCCCCCAAAAAAAAACATGTCTACCGTCCCATTCAACGAAATATAATTATATACTTTTTCCAGTGTCCGCCCCCTCCCAGAAAATTCTACCCCCGCCCCCGAAAATTTCAAGTACCCCGGGGAGGAAAAAGTCTGAAAGAAACACTGAAACCAACCCACCCCCCCACACACCACCCCCCCCCCCACACACCACCCCCCCCCCCCCCACACACCACCCCCTCCCCCACCCCTCCACCACCCCCCACCCCCAAAAAAAACATGTCTACCGTCCCATTCAACGAAATATAATTATATACTTTTTCCAGTGTCCGCCCCCTCCCAGAAAATTCTAAACCCGCCCCCGAAAATTTCAAGTACCCCCACCCCTCTCCGGGGAGGAAAAAGTCTGAAAGAAACACTGAAACCAACCCACCCCCCACACACCACCCCCCACCCCCCCCACTCCCCCCACACACACCACCCCCCCCCCACCCCTCCACCACCCCCCACCCCCAAAAAAACATGTCTACCGTCCCATTCAACGAAATATAGTTATATACTTTTTCCAGTGTCCGCCCCCTCCCAGAAAATTCTACCCCCGCCCCCGAAAATTTCAAGTACCCCCACCCCTCTCCGGGGAGGAAAAAGTCTGAAAGAAACACTGAAACCAACCCACCCCCCACACACCACCCACCCCCCCCCCCCCCCCCAAAAAAAAAAACATGTCTACCGTCCCATTGCAAGAAAACCACTTTTTAGATTAGACACATTAATTAGGCGGTAATTTTATTATAGAGTATCGATGAGGAAATTTCTTTTGAGTTGGGGAGGGGGGGGGGGGGCTCAGACGTTCTTACGCGGGGGGTGGGGCTTCGCCCCTACCCGAAGAATTGTATGCAAGAAACTCTTCACGCAAACCATTTAGATTAGACAACATTTCCTTTTTTTCAATGTTTACGCGATAATCAATGACGTCATTACATTACTGTGTGCACTCTCTGGTTTGAGATTATGTTCTACTCTACGCTAAATGTGTCGACGTCATATTTCGTTTTTCGAATTACTGTGCATGTTTTTATTTTGCTTGTGTTTTCTCTAGAGCGTTCTTGTCAGACAGAGCGTTCTTGTCAGACAGAGCGTTCTTGTCAGATAGACAGACAGCGAAACTATTAGTATTAATATATATATATATATATATATATATATATATATATATATATATATATATATATATATATATATATATATATATATATATCTTTTCGCAAACATCACTACAAACACAACATGTCAATCAGATACATCAGCCTGTATTGTAATGTAACATACATACATGTCTTCCTTACAGACGAAAAGACATTGCTAGGTAACCAAAGGATACAGTTCAAGGACTCGTGGGATTACAATGATTTTACCACTACTCGAGGTTAGTACTTGAACAAAGGTCTGTCTCGTCAGTAGTTAGTCAGTATTTAGTCAGTATTTAGTCAGTATTTAGTCAGTATTTAGTCAGTATTTAGTCAGTATTTAGTCAGTATTTAGTCAGTATTTAGTCAGTATTTAGTCAGTATTTAGTCAGTATTTAGTCAGTATTTAGGCAGTATTTAGGCAGTATTTAGGCAGTATTTAGTCAATATTTAGGCAGTATTTAGGCATTATTTAGGCAGTATTTAGGCAGTATTTAGTCAGTATTTAGGCAGTATTTAGGCAGTATTTAGTCAATATTTAGTCTCTATTTTTAGGCAGTATTTAGGCATTATTTAGGCAGTATTTAGGCAGTATTTAGACAGTATTTAAGCAGTATTTAGGCAGTATTTAAGCAGTATTTAGGCAGTATTTAATCAGTATTTCGTCAGTATTTAGTCAGTATTTAGTCAGTATTTCGTCAGTACGTGGGAGCACTTTTCACTGTCACTCCCATTTATGTAAACACAGTATAATACAGGGTTTAGGAGCGTCAGTCAGTAAAGTCACTATCTTGATAGTGCGAGAAGGTGGGGGGGGGGGTTAAGACTTATGTGACGATAAGTGACGGGAGGGGAATGGTACAAAATATCAAAATAAAAGCGTGACGCCATTTATGGATGACACCTTCATCCATAATTAGGCAGGATTTGGTCAATCTTTAGTTCATCTTTAGTCTATATTTGGTCAATATTTGATCATCATTAAGTCATTTTTTTACTGAATATTTTTCAACAAGTTTTTTTCTTCTTTGGTTTAATGTTGTTTCACAATTTCTGCATCTTCCACGGCAGCTTGCACTTAAAAAATTTTATGTATAAAATACCATGTGTACCTGCCCCTAGTCTAGGTACATTTGTACTACGTCTGTACTCCAGTAGCGTAGCGAGGGGGGGGGGGGGGGCGGGTGGGACATATGTCCCCGGGCGCCGACCTTAGGGGGCGCCAAAATGGGTTGGAAAAATAAATTGAAAGGTTAAGGGGGGGTGCAAATCGAAAGTTTGAGGGGGTGCAAATCGAAAAGTTTGTCCCCGGGCACCGGGAAGGGTCGCTACGGCTCTGCTGTACACTACTTGTACACAATATTTTTAATCCAAAAGTTAACCTTCAATAAACCCCACAGAAAGGCATGCTAGTTCACTATATTTTACATCCATTTTCTTTGATAGTCATCTTGATCTGCTCGCAGTAATAATTACCTCACAATCACCCCCCCCCCCCCCCCCCCAATGACTGTTGCAGTTGGACCACGTATCTGGCATAGGGTGTTTCCAGAGTGTGGCCAGCGCCGTCAGTCTCCCATAGATATCAGTGAAGAGAGTGTCCAGTACCTGCCCATGGGGCCCATCTCGTTGTACACCTATGATAGTCTCGGCGAGACGCGGTTTACGGTCAACAACAACGGCTACACAGGTATGTCTATCCCGCTACATAGGTGGATTATCCCGCTACACAGGTGGGTTACACGGCTACACAGGTGGGTTACACGGCTACACAGGTGGGTTACACGGCTACACAGGTGGGTTACATGGCTACACAGGTGTGTCACCCTGCCTATACAGGTGGGTTAACCCGCTACACAAGTGGGTTACACGGCTATACAGGTGGGTTCCACCGCTACACAGGTGGGTTACACCGCTAAACAGGTATGTCTATTCCACTACATAGGTGGGTTACCCCGCTACACAGGTGTGTCACCCCGCTACACAGATGGGTTACACGTCTACACAGGTGGGTTACACGACTTCACAGGTGAGGTGGGCCACCCCGCTACACAGGTGGGTTACACGGCTATACAGGTGGGTTACATGGCTACACATGTGGGTTACACGACTTCACAGGTGGGTTACCCCGCTACACAGGTGGGTTACACCGCTACACAGGTGGGTTACACGGCTACACAGGTGGGTTACCCCGCTACACAGGTGGGTTACACGGCTATACAGGTGGGTTACATGGCTACACAGGTGGGTTACACGGCTACACAGGTGAGGTGGGCCACCCCGCTACACAGCTGTACAGGTGTGCCACCCCGCTACATAGGTGTGTCACCCTGTGGGGGTATATCACTGTTTTACACACCTCACTACACAGGTATATCATACAGCTGTACAGGTGTGTCAGTCTGCTACTCAGGTATGTCAACCTTTAGGGTATATCACCGCTTTACACGCCCTGTTTTACAGGTGTGTCACCCTGCTACACAGCTATGTCATCCTCATCCAGTAGGGTTATAACACCGCTATACACACCCCACTGCAAAGATATATCATACAACTTTACGTGTATGTCATGCATACTCATGTATGTCCCACCCTGTTGCATAGCTGTGTCAGCCCGCTATACACGTGGGTCCCCTCGATACATATGTCACACATAAAAATATATCTGACGCATATTTTAAATTTTCCGTCATTATACGAATAATAAAAAAAAATTCTTATTCCATATTTAAAATGTTGCGCCTTAATTCACAGTCATTATTTTTTTTAAAAGTAATTTTGTACCCGCAGAAAAAAAATTAAGTTTGGGTTAATACATGACATTAGAAAAGGTCAGCTTTTTTTATATAATTTAAAAGTTAGATCTTTTATTATTATTTTTTAAGAAAGGCCAAGTTTCTAAAATTCATAATAAGTAATAAGTATAGTCGATAAATTGCATCACATTTCTTGGTTGGGGGAGGGGGGGGTGCGATCAGAACAGGTTAACGGAGGGGGGGTGGGATGCAAAAAAATGTGCAATGTCATATTTTTACATTTTAAACTAATTATGCTTTTCTATAAAGAGATTTTCTGAATTATAATAAACGAGCCGACCCGATGCGTATCATACGCCGCTATTTAGTAGTTTTTTTTTCTACTTTTCAGTAATTTATAATTTGTGAATTCGACAGTACCAATGCTGCCATTGAAAATATTTGCTTAAAAACACTAACCCCCCCCCCCCCCCCCCCCACGTGAAAGCAGCCTCCTCTTAGTTACCTCCTCTAAGTTTAAAATCGTTTCAAACTAAATTATCTGCCCCTAATAGCCGTCACCAAACCCGTCTCTATGATTGTAAAATGTAAACAGAGTGAACACCGCTCACCAGATCATGTGGGGGTGGGGTGGGGGTGGTAGTGATAGTGATAGAGAGAAAGAGAGGGGACTGCAAGGAGGCGCTTGCAGCTTGTTTTCTAACTGATCCCAGAAGAGAATTATATATATAGATCCTGAATTGAATTAGTTAAAGAGTTCAGTTTTATGATTACTGTTGTTTATGGCAAAATAATTCAAACTAGCAAAATCATAATTAAGAATAGATTTGTTATTTATTGGTTATAGCCCCTTATCAAAGAGCAACAACCCTTAAATATGGGGGGAAACAAAATTTCTTTGTTGGTAAATAAGGGGACATCCTCCAAAATAAAAAAGCATTAAGCGTCTACATGTTATGTGCCACATGTCCTAATGGTTCCGATTTCAGCCAACTTTTTCTTTCAGAATTAGCATCCATAGCTTTTGTCCAACCAAGAAAAAACTACAAGGCAGAAATTGTTTGAGTTTGGAGTTGTCTCCCCTAGATAGGTTGCTTTTCACAGCTATAGAGCCTCATCTGCCCTTGTATTTTAAAAATGAAAAATGTGGTTAGTGGGAGGATTGTGAAGGCGTGTGAAAATGGTTACAGGGGGCTAGAAAACTTACTTTTTAAATCAATTGCTTTTTGTTGTTTTTATGGAGGTATTTTCCGCATTACTTTTGCAACACTAATAATTACTTCCGATTTGGAAAATGATAAAACCAAAGAAGGCAACTAATACGAAATTGCTGCTTTTACTTAAGATTATGAAATATATTTTCATACTTCTTCGACACCATGAATATGCTACTTTTTTGTAAGCTGTTTACTATTTTATTATGAAATATATTTTCATACTTATTCGACATAATGAAAATGTTTCTTTTGTGTAAACTGTTCACTAATTTATTTAAATAACTCTTGATGACATTTTGAGCTATTTTTAAAATTGAAGCACTACGAAGCAGTGGCGTAGCGAGGTCGGGTGTCACCCGGTGCTGCACTTAAAGGTGTCACCCCCCCCCCCCCCCCCCCCCCCCCGAGGCATAGCGACCCAAGCATAGCGAAACAAGTGAACTCTACTTCACTTGCCCCATAGACCGTCAGATTTGAAAGGGAAACTTTTGACCCCCCTCAAACATTCCATTTTGCACCCCCCTCCCTCAAACATTCCATTTTGCACCCCCCTCCCTCAAACCTTCCATTTGCAACCCCCCCCCCTCAAACTTTCCATTTGCACCTCCCCCCCCCCCCCCCCCTCAAACTTTCGATTTGCACCCCACCCCTCAAGTTTTTCTCTATATATTTTGCTATTTTTTGCCTTGGTGTCACCCCTTAAATGGTGTCACCCGGTGCGGTCCGCACCCCAAGCCCCCCCCCCCCCCCTCACTACGCCTCTGCTACGAAGACTCTAGGATTGACCTGAATCACAAACTGTGAGTCCTGCCTCCGTCCACAGCGTACATCAAGCCCAGCACCAATCACCTGCTGCTCAGGTGTGACGACCTACCTGCCGACTATGTGGTGGCCGGCGTACATTTCCACTGGGGGAAGGACAACAGCGTTGGCTCGGAGCATTGGTTGAGGGGGAGGCCGTACCCGCTGGAGGTTAGTACGTGGGGTAAGGCGTACCCGCTGGAGGTTAGTACGAGGGGTAGGCCGTACCCGCTGGAGGTTAGTACGAGGGGGAGGGCGTACCCGCTGAAGGTTAGTACGAGGGGTAGGGCGGACACGTTGAAGGTTAGTACGAGGGGTAGGGCGTACCCGCTGGAGGTTAGTACGAGGAGTAGGGCGTATCCGCTATAGGTTAGTATGAGGGGTAGGGTATGCCCGCTGGAGGTTAGTACGAGGGGTAGGGCGTACCCGCTGGAGGTTAGTACGAGGGGTAGGCCGTACCCGCTGGAGGTTAGTACGAGGAGTAGGCGGTACCCGCTGGAGGTTAGTACGAGGGGTAGGGCGTACCCGCTGGAAGTTAGTACGAGGGGTAGGGCGTACCCGCTGGAGGTTAGTACGAGGGGTAGGCCGTACCCGCTGGAGGTTAGTACGAGGGGTAGGCCGTACCCGCTGGAGGTTAATACGAGGAGTAGGGCGTACCCGCTGGAAGTTAGTACGAGGGGTAGGGCGTACCCGCTGGAGGTTAGTACGAGGGGTAGGCCGTACCCGCTGGAGGTTAGTACGAGGGGTAGGGCGTACCCGCTGGAGGTTAGTACGAGGGGTAGGGCGTACCCGCTGGAGGTTAGTACGAGGGGTAGGGCGTACCCGCTGGAGGTTAGTACGAGGGGTAGGGCGTACCCGCTGGAGGTAGGTACGAGGGGTAGGGCGTACCCGGGGATGAGTACTGACTGGGCTGAGAGTTCTCGAGGGTGGGTATTGTACTTTGTGGGGGTAACACAAGCCTTCACCACAAGCCATTTTATAAAATACTGTGACGAAAATCTTTTAACGCCATTTTTATCACGCGACATTTTGACACAGGGCAGTTAAGCACACGAGAGTTAAAGACAGAAGTGTTTAACACAAAATATTTGATTACACCTTTCATCAAGAGCCCATCACGATAAACGTTAACCTGCACCAGTGGCGTAGGCAGGGGGGTTAGGGGGGTCATAACCCCCCATAGACCCCTCGGTATATAGAAAAAGTATGAGGGGGGTGCAAATTGAAAGTTTGAGGGGGGTGCAAATCGAAAGTTTGTCCCCGGGTGAAATTGGAACCCCCCCCCCCCCCTTGAGACGATCCTGGCTACGCTACTGACCTGCACAGTACACTGCAAACAAAGACTTAACAAAACAACTATATACAAGTGTCTGTTTCACTAGCCATAATCAACGTTCGTTTCAGTATTCGTCTTAGTGTTAGGGTTAGGATAAGTGTTAGCTCTACTGCATCAGCAGGTTTCTCTTTCAGACCTAATGATCCAGAAGGAAGATGAAGTAGAGTTTATGTTTCTTGAAGACGGCATAAGAAGGGATGGTGTGGTCAGCACTACGCCCAGCCGCCTTTACTTTCCATAAAGTGAGCAGAGTTTCTTCCAGGCATCTCTTCTACCGCCCCCCCCCCCCCCCCCGGAACGAAATGAAATGTATATAATTTATATAGAAAATAAATACTTTTAACAGTGTCCGCCCCCCACTCCCCCCCCCCCCCCCCCCACCCGAAAATGTCAAGTGTTCCCCCGGAGAAAAAAAAAGTCTGAAAGAAACACTGAAATTGAGTCAGGCACCAATCAGAGCTGGGTTGATCCAGAGACGACCTGCCGTCTCGAACCCGAACCGAGATGCGAAATCGAACCTTGGAGCACGCAGTCGAGCGCTCTACCACACGACAACGCCGTCAATCATCCAAAGTATCAGTACTCACTTGCCAACCACTTAACGTGAATTTAAAACAAAAGCCTGAACTGACCCTAACCCAGAGGCGTAGCGAGGGGGGGGGGGGGGGGGCGGGGGTACGGACCGCACCGGGTGACACCATTTAGGGGGGTGACACCAAGGCAAAAAATAGCAACATATAGAGAGAAAAACTTAAGGGAGGGGGGGGAGCAAATCAAAAGTTTGAGGGGGGGGGGGTGGTTCAAATCGAAAATTTGAGGGGGGTGCAAATCGAAAGTTTGAGGGGGTGTGCAAATAGAAAATTTGAAAGTTTGTCCCCGGGAAGGGGGTGGCTACCCCTCTGGGGGGTGACAACATTAAGTGCCGCATCGGGTGACATCCGACCTCGCTACGCCACTGCCTTAACTCTCTACTTTACCCTAACCAATCTGTCTACTGTATGTTTCCACATGCCATTCAGATGCACATCGTAGGCTACAACAGCCTGTACGCGAGCTTTCAAGAGGCTCTGGGAAAGGACAAAGGCATCCACGTAGTAGGGGTATTCTATCAAGTGTCTATGGTAGGTGTGTTAGTCGTCATGTTATAAGCTAATTACACAATTTTTATCTAAATACGTTACTTTAAATATATATATATATATATATATATATATATATATATATATATATATATATATATATATATATATATATAATAGCCAACTATCCGTCACAATAACTGGAAAACTTTATTTCTCTCTCAACGTTTTTAGTTTTCAAATCTTGGTCTAAAGACATGTATAGACGAATTACGGAACGTAACTCATCCAGGTAAGAAAATTAACTTGATTACCTCCCTTATATGTAAATGTTTGTCGAATAACCCAAAAGCTCATTACTATGGTAAATTTTTTAGCTTTTTAATTTTTTCTTTTTTTTTTGGGGGGGGGGGGGTTATTTTTTTATTTTGCTAAAATTATATCGTAAAATTTATGTATGTATATACATATTATTTAAGATTATTATAAATTAAGCTTCTAAAAGGAAAGGTTTGTATTATTCGTTTTTTACTGCAAGAAAAAAAAATTGTCAACCGTGTTGAAATTGTGATTGACGCCGCCTGACTGGTCAAATGATAAGAACAAACGCGCATGCTTGACGCGCATCAATCACGCGCTGGACTGGACGGCGGACGCGAGGCTAAATCTGAGATAATCTCCAAGACATGTGGATTAAGTTGAGAAAAATGTGGATTTATATCCATATTCACGATTAAGGAAACTAAAACTCTTATAAGAAATAAGAACATTTTTTGAAAAAAAAAGTGTGTTTACTTGAAAGCTCTTACCGTTGAGATAAGTTAAGGGTAAACCATGCAATGTACAACTTTATCATTGCTTGCACTATGAGTATAATGTTCTTATAATTAAATACGCCTCAATGGCTAGTGATTAGACAGTGTGGTTGAGTTGTGGAACGCAGTGGCGTCGCTAGGTCGGGTGTCACTTCATGGTGTCACCCCCCCTACACACTTATATACTTATATATACATATATATTCAAATATATATATATATATATATATATATATATATATATATATATATATATATATATATATATATATATATGAGAGTGAGAGAGTGTGTGTGTGTGTGTATTTATTGTGGAGATGGTAAATGTGTTCTTATAAGGCTTTTTAACTCTAATTATTTACTAACCGAACTGGCAGAAAGCATGTTTCTTCTATATATTTGCAAGTATTTGACTTGTTGTCACTCCCCCTAAATGGAGTCACCCGGTAATGTCTGCACCACCCCCCCCCCCCCCTCCACGCCTCTGCCTTGCGGCGCCTCTGTGTGACGTCACACTTTTGCAGTTTTTAAAAAATAGGTTGACCGTTGTTTAACGTTTTGGAAACAATTTTTTTTTTAAATTGAAAGAGAATTTGATTAATAATGTTAGCCGAGCTCAGTCAATATTTTAGAAAGAAATCCATGTTTTAAAAGAGCTTTGTGAAGAAATAAAAGATCAACAATGGATTATGAAAGGCGTCACAAAACCCGATCAGTTGGTACCCGGAAGCCTCACTGAAAATAGATTGTCTACTCTTCAATTAAGCATTAACTGCCACACATTTTAGCTACACTCTCACCCATCCTCCTCTCTCTCTCTCTCTCTCTCTCTCTCTCTCTCTCTCACACACACACACACACACACACAAGCACCAGTATAGTTTTAGTGCCGTTCAAACCTCTTAGTCTAATCCAATATTCCTAAAAACGATTTCGACTTCGAAACGCTGTTCCAAAAACCTCCCGTGAACGCTGACCTACTTAACGGCGTTTGATGTGAACCTCTCGTTTATCAAAGTTGACAAAGTCTCCCCCTTTCCTTCGCGGAGCTCTCCATTCATCACCACGCGATCCCAGCTTGTCGTACACGTCAAAACATGTCCTGTATATTTGTTTTCTCCCTCAAGGTTCAAATCATCTTTTTTTTTTAACCTGTAGATCTAGTTTTTTTCTTGTAGAGTTTTGGTGTCTAGGTTTCTTGAGCGTCCGGTAAATAAAAACGTACCGGGTCGCATAAAAAAAGGGCTCGGAGTTTATGGCCGCGCCGTTGTATTTAAATTGCCAGTCGCGCCGATAACGATACGTCAAGCTTTATGAGGATTGACAGAGGTGTACCCATCAGAGTTTCTTTCAGGCATTTATTCAGGCCCCGAAGAGCTTCTACGCCCCCCCCCCCCTCGAATGAAATATAATTCATATAAAACATAAATATTTTACCAGTGTCCGCCCCCGGAGAATTTTGTCTGCCCCCCCCCCCCATCCCCGGAGAAAAAACGCATGAAAGAAACACTGGTACTCACATATTTCAATAATCATTGGCGGATTCCCATTATCTCTTAAGGGGTTGTATTTTTAATTCACCGCCAGTTTCCCTATACATTGTCACACTTAATAAAGTGAAACTCCGAGGCAGACTACCTAAATAGTATCCTATTCACAGTCCCGCAGCAGAGGGATGGGGGTTACCCCCCCCCCTAAAATGACATATATTTCCCTATAAGTAGGTAGTCCAAACTGAAATTAACTATTGATTGCAGACTTCTGGAGTGAGTATGTCATGAAAGAACTTTTAATTGTAAGGTCTATGCCACAAATTTTATAAAAATATCTCAATAAATAAAAAAGTTATGCGATTTTTAAAAAAGCAAAATTTGGTAAAAAACTGATTTTCAAAAAGTGCCATTTTTGAGAACCCATATTTTTTAAACTAAATAACATAGAAGTGTGGAAATTGGTAAAGTTGCTGCAAAGTTTGTAATATATATGCCCAATTTTTTTCAGTCATCTAAAATGAGTCTTTCTAAGGTAAAAAAATAATTGAAAATGACAAAAATGCGTTTTGGTCACTTTTATTTTCATAAAAAAAACAAATTCAATTTTTTTTTTTTTTTGCTTTGGAATAACTCTAAAATTATTGTGTTGGTAACATCGACGTGGAAAAATGTGTTAATTATTTTCAAAAATCACATGAGTTAAATTATTATTTTAAAAAATACCACAGTTATCTAGTGCAGGAGAAACAGAATCAAAATTTAGTAGAGTAAATGTAATGTAATGTAGTTTAATAAAGACGTGATGCCACATGCTTTGGTTTCTTTTCAAACCTGATAACTGCTTTGGGGGAACAGTTTTGGGGGAACATCTTTGTACGTCTTGTTTCCCTCAACCTTGATCTTGTGGAGCATCAAGAGTAAGTAATATGTTTTGGGAATTGTAGGGGGGAGGGGGGAGTGGGGTCTTGGCCTTCTTCCCTTCCCTTGTAAGGAAAGTTCTGGATAGGCCACCGTAAATGTCTCCAGCTATGGAACGAACAATTGATTTAGTGATTAATAAAATATAATTAAATTTACTACTAGCCTATTGTGTAGGCCTACTATTTGTCCTATGACTATAACTGGAAACATATGAAAAAGCCTGAAAACACCTTTTTTGTTAAAAGTAATTTATATTTTTTATATATATTTTTAAGAGTAATTCTACTGAATGAAATTTGAAAAAATCGTTGCTGGTCCCACAATGGTTGAGATATCCAATGATGAAGATGCCATACTGTGGTTCTCAACATCCTATAGGACAACTTAACTGTCCTTCATTGTTACTATTATATGCATATAAAATAAATAAATAATGAGAAATACTACTAGTACTACTTACACTTACAACTAATATAACATTTAAAACTAAGTCACAACATGTACAATCTTAATAAATTGCACAACCATCTAAAAATTGATCTGGTACATTTTATTAAGGAGACTGGCGCAGACCATTTCACATTATTCAGCAGGGGAATCAGAATCAGAGTGCACAACAGAAAATAAAAAAATTAATCACATTAGTCCTTCAAATTTAGTGTCTTTTGTTTTAAATAAACTGATAAAAATGTATAGTTATTATAATTATAAATTTCTTTTGTGTTTCATTAGTATTTTATAAGTATTTAACCTTCGTTCCCTGTAAATAATTGAGTTCGTCCACATAGTAACCAGGATAGTCTGGTGGCCATTTTGAATTTGTCGATTCATAATTTTGACGTGATAGTCCAGATAAACTGTAGTAATACGACCCTATCATTGATCCCAGTCAATAGATTTTAAAGAATTAGTAAACACTAGCATCTAATAGTTAAGTGCATCCATATTTCAAGTCCCTAGAATGTCCTGAATTAAATAGCTTCAAGTCTAAACACACCCTGTGTACAAGCGTAGTTCACACGCTAAAACCGTGGACTTATAGCGTTCAAATTTACATTAATAACGTGTGCTAATTAAACCAAACTGACATTCAAACTTAAAATTCATTTATTAAAATGGAAATGAAACTTTAAAAATGATACTTACAACTTGTTTGAAGGCTCTAGCAAGGGTAAAATCCGTTTAGCATCATCGGTCGTCAACCTTTAAAACCGTTCGGCGAGCAACTTACTCGGGGCTGAAAGTCGACTCGAGGGTTATATGTTTATTGGGGGTACGGCTTCGCGACCGTAAATCAGAAATACTTGAATTTACAACACAAAGTAGTTATAAAACTAAACTTTACATCGGTGTAAACATTGAAACAGAATTAGTTTGTTTCCGTGTATATATCGTCATTTAAAGTTTAAAATCTGTATTTTTTTAATGAAATAAACAAGTTATTTTTTCAATTTATACATCAAACGATAGCCTAGAATTCGATCTTTAAAATGACATTAAGATTATGCTTCTACGATGCTTCGTCGCGAAGCCGCGACCAAATAAAACAGTGTGGGGTCGATCGGTACACGCAAAACGGTGAAATTTGTTGACGTAACTGATACTTTTCAAACAAATATAAAACACATTCAAACATGTGTTACAGATATAAAAATACCAGATTACGACAGATAAAGAATTAAACTTTATTGACATATAATTTTTATTCTTATAGGACAACTAGAAGTAGTGAAATTTTTTTTTTGAAAACCGCAAAAACTGACCCTAAAACGCACTTTTTCGCCAGTTTGGACTACCTACTATAAGTTATCGCTATTGCTGACTAGGCGCTCCTGTCGCTTCAACTACGGCCCACTCTGTTTCAAAGTTTTAAATGTCAATAAAACCACGACTTTATGATCATATAAACGTCATGAAATATACTTTTAACCGTTATGGAATATATAGGCCAATAGGTCTATATATATATATACACAAAAATGATTTTATTTTTCTTAGTTTTTTTATATGGCCTTTTTTTTAACTCGCAAAGAATATATTAAAGTAAGTGTCATTCATTGTCTTTATTTATTTTAATTATTTCTAGATTTTCTTCTTCTTATTCGTTCTTAATTTTAGTCTTGGAAGGGATTCCCTCCAACACAACTGGTTATGCGCCATTGAGGCCATTGACTCCAATTTCAGCCTGCTTTTCTTTATGGATTTGCTTCCAATAGCCTTTGTCCAACCAAGAACAAACTACAAGGCAGCAGTTGTTTGATTTTGGAGTTGTCTCTCCTAGAAGAGAGGTTGTCCCCAGCTAACGAGCATCATCTGCCCGAGGGTTCGAACTCGAGACTTTTCGGTTTAGCAACTATGAGCTTTACCAACTCGACCACGCCGACCCCTTATTTCCAGATAATTAGCTTACATTTTTCATCTGACGTTAAACTTCAGGTGATGTGGTCAGTACCGGTCAGTTTGACTTCAGCCAACTTCTCCCTGAGTCGACAGCGCCTTACTACCGGTACGACGGCAGTCTGACCACACCCCCGTGTACAGAAAACATCGTGTGGTCCATCTTCGAGACGCCACAAGACATCACAGCTGAACAGGTCAGTAGACTGGGGGTCATCTGTTACACCTAGTTTCAGTGGCGTAGCCAGGATCGTCTCAAGGGGGGTTCCAATTTTTACCCGGGGACAAACTTTCGATTTGCACCCCCCCCCCCCCCCCCACCCTCAAACTTTCGATTTGCACCCCCCCCCCCCCTCAAACTTTCGATTTGCACCCCCCCCCCCTTTCAAACTTTCGATTTGCACCCCCCCCCCCCTCAAACTATCGATTTGCACCCCCCCCCCCCTCATACTTTTTTCTATATACCGAGGGGTTTATGGGGAAGGGGGGTTATGACCCCCCCAACCCCCCCCCCCCCGGCCTACGGCACTGCACCTAGTTTTATATATCCCATGGGTCTATCAACTGTGTGGAGAGAGGGGGAGGGCTGATGCATAGGCTACATCTGTCTCTTCTAAACTTAGGTCCCTGGCTTTGTGCTTTGATTTCCAAAGCACAATCATTTTATGACCTGTTATACTATGGAACCATATTATTCACAGCGCTGCAGCAATAGACGTTCATGTCAACTGTAGCAAACATGCCCGACGTATATTTTAAGTCGATTCCTGGTTTTTAAAAATATGACTTAGCAGGCTTGCAAACGGACTTATCGTATATACTTTGTCACCTAACTCTAACTATTTTTTGCCTGCATTGGGCGGTTCGTTTTTTTAAGATATTCCTCTACAAAATTGAAAGATAATAAGTCTATAGATTTATTTAACTATATATATATATATATATATATATATATATATATATATATATATATATATATATATATATGTAATATATAAAGACGCTTGTATTTCTCCAGATGGACGAGTTCCGTAAACTCTCCTTCTCTGTGGATATCAGCCCATATACTGGGGGCAATGTCCGACCTCTTCAAGAGTTGATGGGCCGGACCATTTTCACCAATAACGCTATTTATAGCCGGAAATAAATGTTATTTACTTACAAGAATAAAGCAATTTTTGTTCCCGTGGAAGTGTGTTTTCATTTAATTCGCTATTAGGCGCTGGTGCAAATTGTGTGTTTATCTGTCACTGTAAAGAGCTGCCATGATAATTTTGATTTGTGTCTAGGAATTCTTTTCTGTTTATTTTTTTTTATTTGTCACAATGAACGTAAGTTTTAAATATAGATGGTAAATTAATAATTGAGTACTGAATAAATGAAGCAGCTAAAGCCTGTGTAATTAATTAAACGAAAAAGTGTGTTATGAACATATCAGTAGCGTAGCGAGGGGGGGGGGGGGCGGGGGGGGGACATATGTCCCCGGGCGCCGAGCTTAGGGGGCGCCAAAATGGGTTGGAAAAATAAAATGAAAGGTTGAGGGGGGGCGCAAATTGAAAGTTTGAGGGGGGGTGCAAATCAAAATCTCGAGGGGGGGGGTGCAAATCGGAAGTTTGAGGGGGGTGCAAATCGAAATCTCGAGGGGGGGTGCAAATCGGAAGTTTGAGAGGGGGGTGCAAATCGAAATCTCGAGGAGGGGGGGCGCAAATCGAAAAGTTTGTCCCCGGGCGCCGGGAAGGGTCGCTACGCCTCTGGAACATATTGACTGTATCTTGGCCTGTAGTCCGAGGGACGTCTCTAAATCAACCCCTCTGCTGAAGACTGGCCATAGTACTGACCACACCATCCCTTCACATGCCAAGGTCATAGAAACATGTTGACTATACTTTATCTTACCGCCGGGTACCATCTGTAAGAGTGTTTAATTCATCCCAAGCCTAAAATCATAACTTAAAAGTGCCTTTCACATTGCGAGGAAATAAGCACACAAAAGAATACATTCTTCATTGGCGGAATATAAGGTAAAGAAGAATAAACTACATAGTTCCTACATTCACACATATTCTAAGGGTCGGCGTGGTCGAGTCAGTAAAGCTCATAGCTGCTAAACCGAAAAGTCTCGAGTTCTAGCCACTCTTCTAGAAGAGACAACTCCAAAACCAAACAACTGCTTGGTTGGACAAAGGCTATGGAAGCAAATCCAAAAAGAAAAACAGGCTGAAATCGGAGTCAATGGCCTAAATAGTGCATAACCAGTATGACACGTATACTTAATTGTGTTGGAGGGGATCCCTTCCAAGACTACTAAAATTAAGAAACAAAGATGACAGCTGGTTAGTTTGTTTTTTGTTTTGTTTTTTCAATTTTTTTTTCAATCGTGTCGAAACTATCACAACACAAACAAGAGAAGACGATGAAGTATAAAATAAAAGGCCCTTTATTGTGTTCCCCACAGTAACATTTGCATCGATTCAATAACTATACAGAGTATTTATACCGCCCCTTGATCTTGACGTCACAAAGATAACATTTGCTGTTGCTATGGCTACTTGTGTACAACGTCAGAATGTAGCCTTCAAATTTAAGATGATGTCATGAAGAAGTTCACGAAATGAAGAGTAATTTTTTTTTTTTCATTTTGGATGCCTGAAATAATTAGTTCATAATTAATCTTTATATTTTGATTTATAAATCTTTTTAAAAATGCATATCAATTTTAGAAGTATTATAATTATATGAAGAGTATTAGGCCCAGAATTTATTTCATGCATATTTCCGGGGTAATGTCACTGCCACACCCCCCCCCCCTCCCATAGCACGTCCACCACCCCTCTCATGTCACCCCTCTCACGCTAAATCTTCAAAAGTTAATGACTTAGTTAAGTTACCTGCATCCAAATTTTTTTATGGCGATGTTAGAATTTGAAGATTTTAATAGACATCTCTACCATCTGAAAATAATGAAACAATGTAAATAATTGTTAGAAATTACGAAAAGCATTCTCGATGAAGATAATATTGATGAATAGATTTTTTTTATCTCTATCTAACTTCATTTGGAAGAAAAAAATAAGAAAGATTTTATTGAGCTTGAAGTATTGACTAATTTAAATTATCAGCAAATGAAGTAGAATTCCTTTGTCGCAATATGATGATTGTAAAAAAAAAACATGCTCCTACTTTAGATCCAATATATGCACGGTACTCAAAAGAGCTGAGTGAACTCAGGAGATGTTTACTTACAGTATTTAAGGTCCACATCGGGCTTGTCGTACTTGTACAGGGGACCAATGTCGTTGTGGTAGGCGATGACCGGCCCGCCCACGGGAATACCACCACCAAGTCCAAGGTTGAAGTCGTCTGTGACGTAGTAGCTGTCCGAGGGCGGTATGCCGCGGTTGATGAACGGAAGATAGTTGCCTCGGGACAGTTGGATATCAGCGCCTGGGGGGAAGAAATGGGTTTAGGTCAAAGTTATGGAGGGCAGTAAGTTTTTTTTTTTTTTTTTTTTTTTTTTTTTTTTTTTAAGCTTAATTATAAAAATTGAATTTAATCAAATAAAGGGGTTTTATTATTTTATTTTATTGTTGTTTTTTTTTTAAAACATAAAAGTTTATTTATTTTGTTTGCTTTATGATAGCGTTTAAAAGATTAAATAATGCGCTATTTACTTTGAAGGCTCGGAATACTAATATTTCAAACGCATGGAATATTTCACAGAAATCTTACAGACAAATAAAATGTGTATTTTTAACTTTTATTTAAAAACAATTATAAAGAAGGGATAAGGGGGTCGTCCATAAAAGACGTCACACTCGAAGGAGGGAGGGGGGGGGTCCGTAATTTTGTGACGGTGTTATGAGGGGGAGGGGGGGGGTTCAGATGGTGCGTTGTTTTGCATTATAAAAAAGCAATGTTAAAAACTAATTTAAGACGTTATTTCGCGTTTTAGAAAACTGTTTTTAATAAATTGGGTTAGGAATTTATTAAAATATTCTATAGTGACAGAGTTCAGACAAGATTTTGGAAAAATATCGATGTTTTAAGAAAAATTCAACTTCAAGTTTGAGGGGGGGGGGGGGTTGTAGGCTGAGGTGTGACGTCATTTTAGGGGTGGGGGTATGGCTTTTTGTGACGATGTATGACGGAAGGGGGGGGGGTAAAAATCGTCAAAAAAGAGTGACGACCCCTTAGTCATAGGATGTGGTTAGTTGTAACACTAAGTTAAAAACTCGGATATACTTGTTCGCATGAAATCACCCAACTAAATCACATTACGACAAACCAGTGATCAACACCAAACAGCAGACGACTTCAACTCACCTGTTACTGGGGCATGCACGTGTAGTCTGGGCGCAGAATAACTGCGGTGGAAGATAGCTGAGGACAGGCAGGTGGGTTTATACAGGTGTCATAATTATAGGTGTCATAAATAGCATAAGGTGTCATAATTATAGGTGTCATAAATAGCATAAGGTGTCATAATTATAGGTGTCATAAATAGCATAAGGTGTCATAATTATAGGTGTCATAAATAGCATAAGGTGTCATAATTATAGGTGTCATAAATAGCATACGGTGTCATAATTATAGGTGTCATAAATAGCATAAGGTGTCATAATTATAGGTGTCATAAATAGCATAAGGTGTCATAATTATAGGTGTCATAAATAGCATAAGGTGTCATAATTATAGGTGTCATAAATAGCATAAGGTGTCATAATTATAGGTGTCATACATAGCATAAGGTGTCATAATTATAGGTGTCATAAATAGCATATTTAACCGTGTCATAGATTTCATAATGTTTTAAAATATTTTTTTTCTCAATTGCTTCATTATGAGATTCATAAATAGCGTATTTCGTCAGTGTCATAGATTTCATTTTTTCCTAATTATAAGTGTCATAAATAGCACTTTTTTTACGCAATTACCTCATTATATATGTCATAATTATGTATTTGTGTCAATGATTTCATTTTTTTTAAATTGTCTGATTATAGCATATTTTGTCAGTGGCATAGGTTTCATAATTATTCTTGTTATATATTTCAAAATTAACACTGCCGTAGGTACCATGTGGTTGATAGTCGTTTGATGTCAATGCAAGAGTCAAAATGACAGACCTTCCTAAGTTGTGACAAAATTCTGAGAGCGTCAAAATGACTGAAATGCTAGTGGTGAAATTATAATTTGTCAAAGCTATAGACTTCCATTACTAAGGTAACATTAAGTTACGAGTAAAAGTATGTATTTTCTGAATAAATTCTCGCCTCCCCCCTGCCTGAAAAAACATCTGAGCTGGAGAGATTTTACTCTCATGGGGCAGAACAAAACATCAGAAAACATGCGCTTGAGTTGAATTCACAGGGAAAGAGAGTAAAAAGGGTGTAAAAACGGTATAGAGATGATCTTTTAACCGAGAGTTGGGAATTGCCGGATTGTCATGGCTGGGGATGTTTAAGTACTCAGCGATAGCCGAGGTGTCTTTTCGGCCGTCTGGATCATGGGTCCTAAGGAAAACTTAATTACTAAACTGTTGGGTCAGACAGGTAAACTTATGGATCATGGATCTGAAGGAAAACTTAAGACTTATGGATCATGGACCTTAAGGAAAACTTAATTACTAAACGGTTGGGTAAGACAGGTAACTTATGGATCATGGATTTTAAGGAAAACTTAAGACTTATGGATCATGGACCTTAAGGAAAACTTAAGACTTATGGATCATGGACCTTGAAAAAAACTAAACGGTTGAGTCAGACAGGTGACTTACGGATGGCAGACGTCTCCAACACCAATAGAACTGTCATCACGGCCATAGCCAGGGCAGCCTTCATGTGAACCTGTCAATCAAATGTTAAGTCTGGTGACGGGCTGGTGGGTGGGTGGGTGGGTCGGTGGATGGGTTGGTGGGTGGGTTGATGAGTAGATGTTTATATGGGTGAGTGGGTGGGTTGGTTGGTGGATAGATGGGTGGATAGATGGGTGGATGGGTGGGTGGGTAGATGTGTGTATATTTAGGTTGTGAAGGTGGGTGAGTCGGTGAGTGGATGTATATAGAGATGGATTTGTGGATGGGTTTATGAGTAGGATGGGACGGAGTGGTCTAGAGGTGGAGAGCTGGACTGCTAACCCGTAAGTCTCGAGTTCGAATCCGGGTTCAAGTCCATATAACGTCCCTGAGTCCACCCAGCTCTGATGGGTATCTAACTCACGTTAGGGAAAGTAAAGGCGGCTGGGCATAGTGCTGACCACACTATCTCTTCATATGCCGAGGTCACAGAAACAAGTGAACTCTACTTCACTTGCCCTATAGACCGTCAGGTTTGAAAAGGAAACTTTTATGAGTAGGTGAGTGGATGGCTGGGTGTATGGTGGATGTGTTGGTTTTTGTTTTAACAAGGTTTATAAGCAAACTCTAACGGACAATAGGGCAGATGCAGTTCATTGTTTATCTTAATTGACCACGCCATATAAAGTGGATTTTATGTGATCAGCGCTAAGCCCAGCCGTGAGTATTTTTTCCCAACCCATGCTGGGTACCCATCATAGCCTACTCGACTCAGAGGCGCGCTACGTCTCCGATCACGCAGCCGGACCAAAATATTTTGTTTTATATATTTTGTTTTAGCAATCAATTTCTCAAGAAAATAAGTCGGAAAAGAGAATCGGTATACAACTGTATGTGTTAAATCGACATATTAAAATTATGGGGCAATAAAAATTACTTTAGGTATTTAATTTCTTCTTATGTCGTAAAATTAAACAAGGCCTTCTTTTATAGCTGCTCAATAATGTGCAAGTGTTACGTGTTTATTTAAAATTACTTTAAAAGAAGAGTTTTATGTTTAGCCAAATTTCAAGGATAATAATTACTACACAATAGTTATGGTCGAACGCTAGGGCGCACGGTTGTTCAACCGAGTTTCAAGTTCGGATTCCGGATTTGAGACAAAAAAAGCTTGTTGAGTTCATCCAGCTCTAATAGGGACCTGATCACACTATCCTTTCATAGATCGAGTTCCACGAAACGGATGAACTCTATTTCAAAAGCTTCTTAACCGCCAGGACATAATGGGTAACTAATTATGTTAGACCACAAATCAAACTAATCTAGGCTAATCTAGACCAAACCAATGGATACATTTGAAGCGTTGTATGGAAGGCAAAACGTCAGTTATTGACACGAGGGATAAAACCACCAAATAGGGTGATTCTTTTTCTTCTGCGTTCTTAGTTTTGGTGTTGGAAGAGATTCCTTCCAACACAATTAAGTATACGTGTCAACTTGTTATGCGCCATTGCGGATTTTGACTGCGATTTCAGCCTGCTTTGCTTTTTGGATTTGCTACTATAGCTTTTGTTCAACCAAGAACTAACTATAAGGCACCAGTTGTTTGATTTTGGAGTTGTCTCTCCTAGAAGAGCGGCTGTCCCCAGCTGTCGAGCCTCATCGACCCGAGGGTTCGAACTCCAGACTTTTCAGTTTAGCAACCACAAGCTTTACCGACTCAACCACGCCGATTAAAAAAATAGTTTTGTTATTTCATATTTTAATTTCTCTTAATCGAAGTCTAGAGGAAGAATTGTAATCGTACAAAATATCGAAATCGTTTTACACCTCCCTGAGTCGGAAAAACTTAATATATCTTCAAAGATATATATATATATATATATATATATATATATATATATATATATATATATATATATATATATTTATTTATTTATTTATTTATTTATTTATATTATATATATATATATATATATATATAATATATATATATATATATATATATATATATATATATATATATATATATATATATATATATATATATATATATATATAACAGAGAACAAATTAAAATTGGATTTTTATTTCGAATCAAAAAAATTCTATCGTGTTAATTTACACTCACCATTGTAACAAGTACGGAAGAAATGGAATACGATGGATACGCTTGATGGCTGGTGTCTACTAGTGGCGAGTTGCGTCCCTTACTCTCTTGTCTGGACCTTAAAGGGGGACAATGCTGACAGACGGGATTAAATACTCGCTCAACTCATGGATATGACAGCTTCGGGAATAGATGTTGGTAAAGTGGCGAATTGTATTGTTTTTTATTTGTTAGTATTCAACAAATTAGAACAATACATTGTATTTAGAAGTATAGGCTTTTTTTTTCAAGAAAAGTTGTATGCATAACCTATAATAAGTTTAAAAGGCTTGATCAATATTTACATGTGAATGTTACACAGTTCAATCTATTTCAATAAAAAACTTTGCTGAACCGCAAATACTTTGATAATTATTTTTTTAAAAATAATAATAAAATATTTAAAAAAAAAAAAAAAAAATTTTACTATTGTAGATCCGTCCACACAAGTCGACGTTGAAAACCCACGACTAAAGCGAACATGGCAAGGCAAACTGACGCTGTAAATTACTTGTCTGATGCAATGGAAAAATTCGATTAAAAATATTAAATTTCTTTGATTTCTATAAATTATCACACCACAGAAATCTTTGTTGTTCACAAATGTAATTGGTCTATTTCTGTTGGGAGTTTATTGTTTCGTTATATGTTTCATGATAAATTCAAAATGTATCAACAATTTTTTTACATTCACTTGTTCGTTTAGGCGTTTCAAACCATTTGAATAACTGTCAAACGTCCTCCACTCCTCCACCCCTCCGACCCCAGCCCGACCCCTGGCCAACAATAGACTGACAGAAACGTAGGAGTAGCCCCGGGGCTTAAAGAGTTGTCCTCAGCTAATGGGGTCGGCAGAGACAGGTCGGGATTGACCCCATGCACGGACCGTGGGTCCCTAGATTTGACAACCCCGAAGGTTCGGTGAAGAAAAATGGCGTGTCGACTTAGGTCAAATAAATATTGTTAAATAAGCTGTTACATATATATATATATATATATATATATATATATATATATATATATATATATATATATATATATATATATATATATATATATATATACAATATAATATAAAGGCATATTATATATATATATATATATATATATATATATATATATATATATATATATATATATATATATATATATATATATATATGTAGCTTGTACAAATGAAGCCAACGAAATTCTTCCACCCTTATTGATATACTTTGCCTGACTTTGTCTGATACCTAGTGTTGAAAAAGTAACTTTAAAGATTTATTTCCTTTTTACCTTTTATAATTATGTTCTATTTGTTATATACGTATTCGTTTGTGGGTCATTTTTTTTTGCTGCTGAAACTGTTTTGGTAAAATGGGAAAAAAACTAAATCTACCATGCTGTAGCATCTCAACAAAATATTTTGTTTAAATCAATATCTTAATTCATATGAGTACTAATGTTTATATATTTGTTTCAGTTACTTTCTTTAAAAGTGTTATTTTTTCTTCTTACTATGTTTTTTACCGCTTTGACTGTTGTGTAAGAAAGAAAAAAGAGAGAAGCTACTTATTCTTACTGGATGAAGAAAATTTAATCAAATTCTATCAAATGTATTTGATGTTTGACTTTTTAATCGTGTGGTAGTTGTAAATGAGGTGCTGATGTTAAAATAGTTTTTTATGAAACAATTTATTTATGAACTGATATTCCGTTGTTACCTTTTTTTCCTTTTTTTACCTTTTTTTTTTTTTTTTATTTTTTTTTTTTTTTTTGCAGCAAGTAGAATTAATCGGTTATCTTAACGACAACAAAAATGATGATAAAAATTTTACCTGTGTCACCTGTGACGTCACCTTAATTAGCGTGCTAATTAATCAGAATAAAACCTACAGGCAATCCCAATTTTTGACTGCTCAGATATAACTTATAAAACTTGAAAAAACAATTCATCAAAAAAGTCTGCCTATATTTTTCTAAAGATCTTTGACCTAGCAATAGAGGTGGTTTGGTGTAAAAAAAAAATGTATGTTTTTCATTCGATAGCATGGTTATACATTTCATCATCACTTCCCGTTCGTGCCTAAGACACATGGGGAAGATGAAGTAGAGCTCATCTGCTTCAGAGGGACCTAGCCATATGAAGGGATAGTGTGGTATAACTATGCCCAGCCGCCTCTGTTTCCCTAACGTAAGTTAAATACCCATCAGAGTTGGGTGGACTCAGGGACGATCAATTGATTTGAACTCGAAACTTTCGGGTTAGCAGTCTATCTCTCTACCGCTAGGCCTGGTTATACGTTTGGCTTTTGTGAATTACAATAATAAGGTGAAAAAAATTGAAATGTGTATAGCATACTGCAACATATTAACGCATAAACGAAATAATAAAAAAATAAAAGATGATTCGTAAAATATGATGAGATTAATTGTATAATTTAAACATTATTTTCTGACGTTACATTAAATAGACCAGTAATAATTTGAAAAGCTCAACAAAGGAACACTATCATACGTTAAAAAATACATAGAACTTGATAATTTTATATGTATATACTTTGATTTTGGCTGTTGCCCTTAGAATATACTTTGTGTATTCGTGGCTATACGGCTTAGATGTGTTGAGCAATGGCAACACATTTCCCGTACAATAGATTACAAGTATGGGAAGAGAAAAAAATATTCTCACACTGTCTTGACTTTACAATCCTTAAAGTACAACGTAACTTTTTGTGATTTATTTCCTTTTTGTACTTTCTTCTGTGATATTTTCCCTTGACTTTTTTTTCCTGTGACAACTTTACTTCAAACGTGGCCATTGTCCTATTATATAGTCCCTTACAAACACGCGATTTTTTTAAATTGATTTGTTTCTTAAATGTTTTCTGAGTTCAACTAACATTAAGTATATTAATAAATTTACATTACACCTTACAGAAACAATCTTTTTTTTTTAAATCGGAATTAATGGCTAAAAGTCAGTTCTTAACAATAGTTTTCAAAATGGCGTCACACATTCTAAATATATACCTCTCTTCATCGTCACACATTGTCACAAAATTATATATATATATATATATATATATATATATATATATATATATATATATATATATATATATATATATATATATATATATATATATATATATATTTGGGCTGCGCTGGCGCAAACGCACACACACACACACATTGATGTACACTTGATTTGTCTGACAATATTATCAATATGAAACAACATTTTCATTTCTGTTTACTTGGATGTGAATTGTCAGGCGTACAATTTAAGTTAATCAGCGCGGAAAAATCTGGCAGCTTTAGAATTAGATTTATAGGAAAGTCGGTCGTGACATAAATTACAAGGCAATCACGTTTTTAGTTAACTCGAGAATTTACGACCATGTCCGTAAATCACACGATTTGACATCACGAAGAGCGGATCTAACTTTGCATAACAGCTCCAAATAAACTCCGCGTCCTATTTTTAGAACTTCGCGTTGTTTTGGGGAGAAATATTGACTAAATTAGCCATATTTTAATGAGTTCATTGTTGTTACATGTTACTAATAGCTGCAGTACCTCATTGATAAATGAGTTGGCATGTTGTAAATATCGTGGAGGATTTTGGCGAACTTTTCTCTTTTAGTTTTCTTCTTAAATCTTGGACCAAGCAGTTTAGAAAATAACCTAATCGAAAATTTACACAAAAAAAACAAACAACTTAGCAAATAATATCACGGTCTTACATACTCTATCGACATAGAGTATGAAAAGGGGAAATGAGGGAGAAAAAATACCCACCCCCACCCCAACTTCCTTGTAAAATTCATCAATGACACTAAATTAGCGATTTCCAACACAGTTAATTCCCAAGACATTGTCAACAAATTCCAGTCCTCCCCCTAAAACCCTTATCCCTAACACAATTAATTCCTTTTAATATTTTATCTTCAACAAATATCACCCCCCCCCCTCCCCCCCCCCCCCCCCCCCCCCACCACCACCACTTCTTCGAGAAAATATTTAAAATTGCATTGCTATCTCCTAAAGCTCATAAAATTAGATATGTACTTTGGCGTCACAAATACTTAAAATATGCCATACCCCCCCCCCCCCTTTCAGTTTATTCTCAAGATATTGTCAGCTCGCTCCTCTTCTCCCCTTCACAAACTATCACACGTAATCCCTTGTCATTTTTATCCTAAAAAAAAAATCACCCCCCACTTCCTCAAGAAAAGTATTTAAAATGGCATTGCTCTCTTTTCAAAACCCCTTCACATTTGATGTGTACTTTGGCGCCACAAAGACAAAGTATACCACTATCCTTTCCTCCCCTCCCCTCCCCACCCCCCCCAGCTCAGGGGCGGGCATGAAATCTTTAACGGACAGTTATCTATTTATGCAGTGTTTCTTCCAGACTTTTTTCTCCGGGGGGGGCACTTGA